CGTGTTACTAATTTAATAAGCGCAATGATTGGGTTAACAACTATGACAGGAAAGGTCGTAAAATGGGGCAAAGTTAACAACTGTCTCGCTTAAAAACAGAAATTTTGGGCTCAATTGGGTCCTAAGTCGAGGACTATCTGTATGGGTAACTGCCATGAGGTCAGCTGCATAGTAATTTATTTTAGGACAACGGCTAAACATCTGTATTGTTTGTAACGCTAAAGCTGTATCTGACTTCATACTGGCGAAACAAGGACTATAATTCCATCCCTTTATACTTGCCAAAATAGTAATATTTAGGACAGAACTAAAATAACAGAGCAAGACAAAACTCTTAGCCTCCATCCAGCTCACTGTTCTTTATACTAGCTATGCTGGAGGAGAATTATGAGAGTGGAAACTGAACAGATCCAAAGGTTATTAAGTTAAGACAGAGTTAGTTGGCTACTTTTCAGTTAAGATTTCCCCAAGATCTAGTTACAAACCCCAGAGAATAGGACTAAGCGTGGAATGTTTGAGTTACCGCTCCTCTTGAATTTGTAATTCCAAAATAAGAATATTTGGTGATTCTAAATCCCACTGAAATTTGTGGGATTTCAACAGATCTTTAAATTAGAAAGTATTTGTCATTCTCCAGATTCCAGTCTTAATCATATTTATGAAAGCATAAAGAAGAGATGCCAGAAAATGGGATTAAACCTCCTTTTTGCTTTATTAAATTTGGAATGATTGAGACATACACATTCCCCCCCCCCAAAGCATTAAAATGGGCAGAGAGAGTTAAGTTAACCGAAGGCTATGATGAATATAAAGGGGACTCCTGTAATTGCAGACAGAACAGGAAAAATAAAACCTTCAGCCTTTTCCTTTGCATTCCTGTCCTGCATGTCATTGCTTCACTAATAGTCTGCATGTAAATTAACAGACATTCCAGGGAAATACATTTGATTGAAAATCCACTGGGGAATATAAAGTGAACGATGTGGAAAGCTAAATTGCTCAAGGCAATTTGAGAGACTAAAATAGCAGGGAGGGAAAGAGTTAAGCAATACCACACCTAGTTTGTTTTTTTCCTGATTTGGTTGTAACACAGCTCAATCCTCATGCACTCCTGCCCCACGAACAATATGTTTCATAGATTCATAGGGCAGGAGAAGACCTTGGAGGTCATCTAGTCCAACCCCCTGCCCAGGGCAGAAGTTCGTATAATAACCTGGACAAATAGTTGTCCAATCTTTTCTTGAAAACCTCCAGCAATGGGGCAGCCACAACTCCTGGAGGCAAGTTATTCCATTGGTTAATTGCTTTCACAGTCCAGAAGTTCCTCCTTATTTCTAGGTTGGATCTCCTTTTGAGGAGCTTCCACCCATTGCTTCTTCTCCTGCCTTCAGATGCTACAGAGATTAAGGGTAAGGGTTAGGGTTTATTGCAATGTTTATTCCAAATGGTTGGTGAACAACCATCACTCTGGTTCACATTGTAAAATGACGTTCAACAGATGGTGGGAGTTCATTTTTAACACATACACACTGATTTCACCAGGGGCCAAAGGAATCCACACACACACATACACACAAGCCACATCAAACACTACATTTTCACTAGGTGAAAGAAATATAGGGCAGGCCTCCATCATACCTGTGGTACTAACATGCCTCAGTTATACCCCCCCCCCCTCTGCAGTTTCCCATGAAACTTCACAACTTCATCTTGTGGTCAAGTTCTTAGGTGTACCAGTGTGTTATTCTTCTTTTTCCAATTCTATTGAAAGACAAAACGTGCAAAACCTGTGACATTTTCTCTTAGCTGGAGAGGAGTGATTTGAATCCCGGGCAATCATGCTGACCTTATTTTCTGCTGAACGGGTGTGGTGTCTGCCATATTCTGCCAATTTCGGCATTTCCCTGTCATGCTCCACTGCCTGGCAATTAGAAGTACAGATTCATAAGGTGTGGTCTTGGGGAAAGGATGATGTTACCTAGCGTGGTAGTGAAATGTCTGCAAGAAAACCACCAAGCTCAAGAGAGCACCGAGGACTTCACAATCTTGAGGAAGTGGTGACACACATGATTCCTCCTTTGGGTGATCAATGCTGGATTGGCCCCATTTTTGCAATCTCCTGCAGCAGAGTCAGTCCAACTTTCCAATCCAGTACACCGGCCCCATTTCTCTAAATATTCCTATTTGACTGCTCAGAAGCACCTCAGAAGCTTTTCCATCCCGCAAAGCAAAGCTAATCTGTTTGACTTTTTACCCTTTAAAATTCTTTAAAATTCAGCTGAGGAGATCCAGCTGAGTGCACCCTCTCCTTCCTCCACCCCCAAGCAATAAACAAAGGAACAAGTTTGTAGAGGAAATGTGGGTCAGTCTACTTTTTTAAAAAGAAAGCCTAGTGTGACAAAGGAGAATTAAGTGGTTTGTGGCCTTCCCTCCAAAATTTGCAGCTTTGTTTTAAATTCATGAGGTTCCATCCTGGAGTACCTTTTTGCATGAGTTTCCATGAAGGGGGGACTAGAAGTCACAGTCTCCCAATGTTGGCCTAAACTCACCCAGCCAGCTTTCATGGCTAAGACAGGACTAGAATTCCCAGGCTCCTGGTGAGTGGCCCAAAATCCCCCATCCAGTGTTCATGGCTAAGGTTGAAATAAAACTCAACGTCTCTTGGTGATTAACCCAAAATCACCCAGCCAGCTGTCATGGCTAAGTCAGGACTAGAATTCCCAGACTCCTAGTGAGTGGCCCAAAATCCCCATCCGACTTTCATGGTCAAAGTGGACCTAGAACTCAAGGTTTCTTAATGACTGGCCCAAAGTCACTCACGTCTAAGGCAGAACTAGAACTCCCTGTCTCCCTGCTTTCTAGCCTGATGTCTTAACCCTAGACCAGGGGTAGGCAACCTCGGCTCCTTTATGACTCGTGGACTTCAACTCCCAGAATTCCTGAGCCAGCATGGCTCAACTTGGAAACCTCTCCCTTTCCCCTCAGCATAGCTTGGCTCAGAAGTCTGGGAGTTGAAGTCCACAAGTCATGAAGGAACCATAGTTCCCCCATGCTGGCTCAGGAATTCTGGGAGTTGAAGTCCATGAGTCATAAAAGAGCCGAGGTTGCCTACCCCTGCCCTAGACCAAACTGTCTCTTTCAGATAATTCAGAATTCCTCCAGTCATTGTGTTCTAGAAATTAATCCCTTAACTGAGCCCGACTCCCTAGCCTAGTTTATGCTTGAACTGGACAACCATTTGTCTGAAATGTTACAGGCTCTCCTGCTCGAGCACGGGGTTGGGCTAGAAGACCTCCAAGGTCCCTTCCAACTCTTCTGTTCTTCTGCACTGACCAAGTCCTTCTCCTCTACGCTTGAATATTCCTCTTTCCCAAACAAAAGCAACAAATGGTTTGACCGGGAAAAGCAACACCTTCCCGGTATAGTATTCCTGACGGCTTTTCGCAGAGTCTCTCTTTTTTTTCCCTAAGCAAAGTCCAGTCACACCGGTGACATTTTTCGGTTTGATTCGGAGCCATTTTTGGGATGAACCAAAAATGGGGTTGGCGCGGGCGGGCATGCGCGCGGAGGAGGAGGAGGGGCAGGGGCTGCTGCTGCTGCTGCTGCTGCTGCCGCTGCCCAGCGCGCGCCCGCTCCCTCCTTGCCAGAGTCCCGCCGCACGGGGGAAGGGACGAGGCGCGTGCGCCGGCCACTTCCTTGTTTTCCTCACGTGATGCGGCGGCGAAGCGGGTGGAGGGAGGAGTGGGCGGGGCGGATTGGTAAATCATTCTCCCTCCCCCCCCCGTCTCTCTCTCTCTCTCTCTCTCTCTCTCTCTCTCTCTCTCTCAACAAAAACTCACCGGAGCGCATGCGCTACTGAAAGTCTTGCAGGAGGGCGCGCCTGCGCGTTTACGCCCGCGCTCTTTCTCTCTCTGACCATCGCCCCCATCCTCCGGAGTAGGCGGGGCAGGCGAGCAGGCAAGCACGCGCGTGCGTTCTGCTGCCCCCGCCCGCCCGCTGGCGGAGGAGGCGGCTGCAGCAGGCGGCGCGGGAGCGCGCGCGGAGGGAGGGAGGGAGGGAGGAAGAGGCGCGTCGGTCAGTCGGGCGGACGGACGGGCGGGCGGGCATCCTCGGCGGTCCTGCTCGGGGGATTGCAGCCGGGGTCTCTCTCCTCCGCTGCTGCTGCTGCTGATTTCCCCGCTTGCCTGGTCCCTTCCCCCCCCCCCCGGCTCCAGCTTGGGGGGGCGCAGCGGAGGGGCAGAGGGGTCGCCTGCGCAAGTTAGTAGCTCTGGGGTGAAGGGGAGACCCTCTTGCAGCAGCCCCGCCAAGAGGAGAGTGCTCCGTCCCTTGCAGAGCAGTTTTTTCCCCCAGTTTCCAGGATTGAGGGAGGGGGCGACCCGGGCCAAGAAGGAGAGATGGACTCCCCTATTTTGGGGAAGGGGAGATGCAAAGGGGTTGGTGTGCCCTCTCCGGACTGGAGGAGATTTTGGCGGAGCGCCCCCTCCTCTCCTGGGGAGGCTGCCCACCCCTCTCCTCCCCTTCCCGTTGCTGGGACCAGGAGAGATCCAGTGGCTTTCTGGAACTAGGAGAGATCACTTTGCATTTTTGCAAAAGGGGGGGGGGTGAATGGCTGAACCTGGTACTCGGCTGGCAGCTTGTTAGCAAAGTCTGGGGAGAGATCCTGGGGGGGGATATTTGGGGGTGTGCCTGGGACGCGCCCCCTTTGGTGGATAGGGGCTCTGAGACGACCTGAGCAGCCCTTATTGACTTTGGATGGTGGAAGAAGAGCTGGTCCTGGGGAGACAGACATGGCCCTGGGAGATTCCTCCCCCCAACCCCTAGTTAGTATAATTGCTACCTGGAAGGGCATCCTGCTTCTCCTCTCTTTCTAGCAGGCTCCCACTGCAGTCAGGAGCCCAGCTGATCTCCTCTCCTTGATGCCCTGCCTTGTCTTTAATGCTCTCCCTCTCTTGTCTCCCCTTTCTTCTCCTTGTGGCTTTCCCACTGTCTCCATTGGGCAGGACCATGCCGGACCAGATCACTGTGTCGGAGTTTATTGCTGAGACGACGGAAGATTACAATTCCCCAACGACCTCCAGTTTTACCACCCGGCTACTGAACTGCAGGAACACCATCACGCTGCTAGAAGAGGTACAGTACATGGATGTTTGCCCTCTCCATTTCGGCTGCGGATGCTGCTTTGCGTTCTTCTTCGTGATTGTGACATGTGTGCTGTGGGTGATAAGGGGCTACAGAGCTCCTGCACCCATTGGAAAGGCTGGGAGGCAGGCAAGTCTGCGTGCTCTCCCTGCCATATCCTGCTATTTATTTGGCATTCATGATGACACTAGGGGCAACAGAGGCAAGATTGTTTGTCCATATAATTACGCAGAGGAAATGGTTGTATGGAATGAATGAAGCTTGGTGTATCTTTGGCACAGGTGAAACAGTAAATAATTAGTAGCGAGGACAAGCAGTGGAGGAAATTGCTCACATATGCGGAACCCCAGCAAAGACTTCCATGAGAAGTTGGAAGATGATGAAAGTAAGGGAGGATGCGGTGTTATTTTGTGGCAGGAGTAACGTGCTCAGTCTAATCCATTTTCCCCAATATTAAATGTCAAAATTAACAAAGATATAGATGTCCTTAACATCTGAAAAATATATGCGTGGAATAGACTGTACAAATCTTGCAGACCCAGAGACTGTGTTTTTTTTTTTTAAAAGAATGCATAGTAGAAGACATTTCTGCAACATGAAACAAAAGTAGCCTATTTCATTTTTCTATCGTTCCTTAAATCATTATCCCATCATCTTATAGTCATTGGTTAAAAGGCTATAGAATTAACTTAGTATTTTTCTGGCATCGTTTAAATTATTACTGGCAGGAAAGGTTTTCTGGCCTTCTTGAAAGAGCTTTAATTCCCTGACACTGAGATTGGACTGATAATGCTTTTGCTTTAGGGAAGACAAAATGACATTGTGAAAGATTGGTGGTAATTGTGTCTTTTATTCAAAGAAGTCTTGCTTAAAGCCATTTTAATGTTGTTAAGTAATTGGATAATAGAACCAAAGGGTAAGATCAATTGCATACAAATGTCTTGTTGAAGGAATGGCATTATTTCAGATTTGTAACTTTCTACTGTGCTGTGGCTGCTTGATAGCTTTTGCTGTGTAAGTACTGTACTGTACAATTTCCCAAATGATGAATGTAGCCAATCAAATGCTCCTATCAACTGTTCATTCAGCTTAAGAGACCAGTGTGTTATGGGGTCAATGGGTTTGGTCCTGAATCCTTTTGGCTGGCTCTTCCAAGGTCTGTTGACCAAGTTGAGTCCTTCTCTTAAATCCCATTATGTCATCTTTCAAGCTTTCTTCTGAAAGGAGTTTGGTAAGATGACGGAAAATCAGAGCTTTGCTTGCAGTTTGACAAAAGATAATCCACTCCGGCTGCTGCCATTGATTTCTGGGTTTCTGATCCCCAAAAGATGTAGATGGGAGGAATTTACAAGTCATATGATTCTCTGTCATCTTGCCTGGATAGGGTGGGGTAGCAGCTGGAGTCTGACAATTCAGGACTTTTTCTGGGTGACCTTCAAGCTTTAATAAAGTGCCTTTGAGGATAGTTGTCATTTAGCAAGCGATTTTAAATCCAGTTGCAACTGTGAAATACTAAAAGACATTATGTTACTCAAGTTAACACTTTTGCCAGGCAAAATGTATTCACCATGGCCTTCTGTGTTGGCTGCATAGATTTAATGTATCAGTCTATGAAAAGTTAAGCTTAGTGTGTTACTAGGTTTTTTTTTCATTAGAGTTTTGTACTGAGCAGAGGAAAGCTGCTACACTTTGGCTAAAATGTGTTACGAAAGTATTTTCTTGAAGGCTGCAGTCTTAAAGCATCCTGGGTAAAATAAACTCTTGAAATAAATTGGATATAATTATTAGGTCAGCATGTATTCAAATCCTTGGCAATGTTCAGAATAGTGAATTTAGAGATATTTTATTCTTTTTGAGAATGCTCAGAAATATTGTTGGACTAACCCAGTTAGTCCAGTTTTTGAGACTAGGCTACTTCAAGATATATGGACTACAATTCCCAGAATTCCCCAGCATTGAAATCCACATATCTTAAAGTAAGGATCAGGCCTTTGTGCCATAACTTCTTAAAGTTATTTAATGCTTTTCTTTTCTTTGGTTAATCATTGAATCTGTGTTCTTTTTCTTCGTAAGAAAATAACAAATATCAGTATTCTTTAAAAAAAATATTTCATTTTCCCCACTAACAAGAAAGCAAAAAAATGTATTTTCTTGTATTTGTATCATAACAAGTGGAATTAAGGGAGAAAGGAAAAGAACTAATGAAATTCAGCGGTTTTATTGATTGTCATTTTTTTGTTGCTGTTTAAGTAGCAAGCCAGATTGTTGATTGCTTGGTTTTATAAAAACTTAATGATTTTCTGTAACATTTTAAGGACTTAATTTTTCTCTGCTGGAGAAAAGAATCCTCAGAATGAATAGCCAGTTGGAAACTACTTGGTGAAATGTTTGAAGCAGAAATGGTTCCAGTTGGTAAAATCCCTACTTTACCTAACGGATTATGTTTTTAAGAATAAATACCAGTATTTTTTTCTTCGAAATAGTTCTAAATCAATCTGCTGAAGAATGATAGGGGAGAAAAAACTATGTGCTTCCACTATGCTTATTTATTTATTAAATTTATATGTCACTCATTTTAACTATTGAGTGACACTGGGCAGCTTACAGCATCATAAAACAACAATAAGAAATATTAAAATTATTAATACACCAATAATAATACACATAATTAGGCCATGCAACGATGATATTTTTCCCCCTCAAATGCTCTGTGTTTATATTCTGATATCACCAACATTGTTTGGAGATACTGCTCAAATACCAAAGATTTTACCTTGAATAAAGACAATGTAAGTTTGAATTGTAGACAATGATGGTTTATCCTGCTATAGTTCTGCATTTTAAATACTGTTTACTTAGATGATACAACATAGAGAACTATGATGAGTATTTATTGGAAATCTTTCTGTATGATTCGTTGTGCTGTCTCAAAGAAAAAAAAAGTTTCTACTGTTGTCTCTAATTTTCTCTTTCATTACTCTGGCAATATGGGCTTATTAGAAGTATTGTGATGCTACACTGACCTTGAGCTAGAAATGAAGCATTTCAGAGCTTCAAGGAAGAAAGCTGACATTTTGAATGAAACTGGATCCAAAATGGCTACCTTTTTTTTTTTTTTTTTTTTTTTTTTGCCTGTTAAGTGTATTTGGAGCCAGTTATCTTCTCTGAAGCCTCTGCAGGACTTTGGCAGATAAGAGTTTATTCCTAGAGGCAGTAATCCATTGTGTAGACCAGAGGTTTTCAAACTTGGCCCTTTTATGACTTGTGGACTTCAATTCCCAGAATTCCTCAACCAGCGTGCCTGGCTGAGGAATTCTGGGAGTTGAAGTCCACAAGTCATAAAAGGGCCAAGTTTGAAGACCCCTGGTGTAGACCAATGTTTTCAAAGTTGGACTTTGGTGGGTGGTTTTCAGCTTCCAGAATTCCCCGGTCAGCCTAAAACCTGGGATAGGTTTTCCACCCATCAACTAATGGGTAGCTATATAAAGCAGATGGAAAATGGCTGCATGAATAATATGACCAGTTTCAGCTTATTGAATTGTGGTGTTGGAGAAGGCTCTTAAGAATCTCTTGGACTGCAACGAGATCAGACCAGCCAAGGAAATCAACCCTAACTGTTCTTTGGAAGGACAGAGACTGAAGCTCAAATGCTTTGGCCACTAAATGAGAAGAGAGGAATCATTGGAGGAGACAAAGTGGCTGTGAAAGATAGAAGGGAACAACAGAAGATGAGATGGTTAGATCGTGTCATTGACACAAAGAACATGAATTTGGACAAACTCTGGGAGATAGTGGAGGATAGGGGGACTGGCATGCTGTGGTCCATGGGATAGCAAAAGTTGGACACGATTTAGTGACTGAGCAACAACAAGATCTAGAAGATCCATCAGTTGTAATTGATAGATAGAGTTGGGATGGCGCAGTGGTTAGAATGCAGTATTGCAGGCTAACTCTGCCAACTGCCAACAGATAGATCATGACCAGGCCAAGGTTGACTCAGCCTTCCATCCTTCCGAGGTCGGTAAAATGAGGACCCAGATTGTTGGCGAGAATATGCTGGCTGTGTAAACTGCTTAGGGAGAACTGTAAAAACACTATGAATTGGTATACAAGTCTAATTGCTAGTGCTATTGTAGACATACAGAGTTTGACATTTGAAATGCTTTCCATTCGCTTTACTAACTTAGTTCTGGGTCATGTGACCAGGAAGGAAGTATGGAGCAGACACCAATATTCTGAGCCCTTGCCTTGCTGTTCCTCTCGTTGGAATACATGGGGAGATTTGCAGTCTATACTGATCTAGCTTCTTTTTCTAATCTGATCTTTCTTCTACCCCCACATCAAATTTGATCCCGTTCTGTTCAGTTGTTTGGGACAACTATCCTACCAGTGGAGACAATCCTTTTACTTACACTCTTTTTCACATTCCATTGGGTTGGAAAGAAAATAAAAAAGAATTTCTCCTTGCAGAAACTCAAAGCGCAGCATTCAAATTGTCAAAACAGAATAATGTAATATTTGTTTGACTCTATATTCATTCCTGGCAATTATCATTATGCAGTTTGACTATGTGCATGTGTATATCTATATATGTATATAATATATTTGGTTATATTATAGCTGATTATATTATAGCTGATTATAGTGTAAATATAATTTGTGGGAGTCCTGCTGAATGTGATCAAGTAACCATTTAAGAGAGTATCCTGTTTCATAAAATGCCCAAACAGATGTCTCTGGAAAATCTACATATAAGATATAAAGACAGTAATTTTTTTTTAGCAGTTTTGGGTAGCATGTGGTATTCCAAAGTAATGGTAAAATAGAGATAGTCCTATCACCACAATTGACCCCCCAAAATTTTGTTGCTAAGTGAGACAGTTAAGTGAGTTTTGCTTTATTTTATGACCTTTCTTGCCACAGTTGTTAAGTGAATCACTGCAGTTGTGAAGTTAATAACACGGTTGTGAAGCCACTCTGGCTTCCCCATT